TCTCTATGATGATGTGATGACATACAACTGAAGACAAGCAGTATCTTCCAGTCCGTTTCTGTGGCATCATCCATCCACTGTGTGTTACTGGGCAAGTCACCTGTGTTAGTCTCCTAGGGCTGCCATCACAAAGGACCATTTAAAACGATAGAAATTTATTCTCTCACAGTTCTGGAGGTCAGAAATCTGAAATCAAGGTGTTGACCATGCTGGTTCCTTCTGGGTGCCGTCGGGAAGAATCTCTTCCATGCCTTTCTCTTAGCTTTTGGTGGTTGCTAGCAATGTTGGCTTTCCGTGGCTTGTAGATGTGTCACTCCAGCATCTGCCTTCATCTTCATGTGGCTTTATCCTTTGCATGCCTCTTTTCTTCTGATGATGATGCTATCAGTCACATTGGGTCAAGGACCCACCCTATCCCAATAAGACCTCATCTTAACTAATCTCATCTGCAGTGATCTCATTTTCAAACAAGGTCACATTCTGAGCTTCTGGAAGGACATGAATTTGGGGGGGGGCATTAGTCAACCCAGTACAGCCTGCCACCCTCTGACTCCCCCAAATTCATCTCTGCCCCACGTGTCAAGTATAGTCACCCCATCCCAACATCCGCAAATGTCTTAACCCAATTCTAAGACCAAAGTATCATCTAAACATAAACTCAGTCCCAAATCTCATCATCAAATCAAGTGTAGACTCTGGGTACGGTCCATTCTGGGGCAAACTTCCATCTGTAGACTTGTGAAACATTTAACCATCAGAATCTGGCTCCTGATGCCATAAGATGTTGACGGGGGTCGTTGAGGTGGCAAGAGCAGGGACCTGTCCTGTTCACAGTTCTCACTCCAATATTTAGAATGGTTCCTGTGGCTCTGTTCATGTTCAACTAGTGTTTCTTGAACATGGGAGTAAAGGGCTTTGAGGATCAAATGACATCATGAAAACAAAGCATTTCTGAAAACTGTGGGATAAAATTAGAGTTTCTCTAGATTGCACTGGGTCTGTAGAGAAAATTAGTCTAGTCCATGGGTAACATTGCCCAAATCAACCTAAAGAGAAAGGTGGGTTCTTTGTTCATGAAGAAAACCAAGCCTGTAGGTACTATTCGGTCTATTAGTGATCGGAACATCCTTGCTAAAAGGCAGTGGGATGGATGAGGTGGTTTTGGAGGGCCTGCCTAACTTCACAATTTTATAATCCAAACATAGACAGGGAGCTTTCTGCCTTATGACACAGCACAAGCTAATTGTCTACCCTCATGCCTCCCTGTTTCCTCTCTACTTTCAGCTACTGTTGATACCCAGTGAGGAATGTTCTCGCAAGAGGACCGGCTACATGATTTGCAGGGACTGGTGCAAAGTGAAAAGGCAGGGCCCATGGCTTAGAAATTATTGAGAATTTCAAAATGGGACCAAACCAAGCCTGGGGCCCTTCTAAATGCAGGGCTCCTTGTGACTGCATGACGCCAGCCTGCCTCCCAATCCCTTAGCTTTGTCACCGCTCTCCCCCGGCACTTTGGGGAACATGTGGTCTGAGGACACTGCACTTTCTTGGAAACCAGGGACCCCTAGGAGCCACACTGCCCATCTTTGGTTCTGACCCAGATTTCCATTCATTCTCTGCGTCAGCCTCTGGGTGGAGTGAAATCATCTCAGCATGCGCTATTTACATGGGAACTTTACTTAAAGAGTACAGCAGCAGATCTCAATTGTACCCAAGATGCTTGGCAAGGCAAAAAATAAACTGCTTTTTCAAAAAGGGAAATATCAAGGCATGGAGGGTTAAGTACTCCCCGGCATCACTCAGCTAGCACGGGTAAGCACTTGTCCTTGAGGGGCTTAGAGACTCTGCCGTCCCTTTGACTCTAAGTGTGGGCTCTTTCTGCTTAACCACCGTGCCTACTGGTACTTTTCTTTAGGGTTTGTTTTTACACTTTTCATCTCCTTTATATAATATCCAACATGAAGTCTCTGCAGGCCTTCCCACTTCCACCCTCCAGAGACAGCAGGCTTGGTCACCCCAACGTCCCATATGGCCAATCACCAAAAGCCCAGGTGGGACCCCCAGCACAAGACCCCCTGTGGGCCCCTCTGACCACTTGGCCCCCTTCTCCTGGCCCCACCTGACCACAGCCACGTCTGTCACAGCATGATGAAGGGAGTGGAGAGGGGCAGGTTGGTGACAGTTTTTGTTGTGGTGGTTTTGCTTGTTGACTGCACTTTGGTAAAAAATGTAAATTAACCAAATTATTGCAAAGCAGCGAGTGTTCCTCTGGTTTAGATGTTTGCAGCCAATTATGTTTCATGGGGAAGACAACAGCCAAACTACAACCTACCAAATGGCTCTGCTCTTCCAAGCTCCGCTGAGTCAGGATATGCGTCGAAGACCCAAAGGCAGGGAGACCCCGCTCTCATCAGCAAGGTGATGTCTGGTCTCATCCAGCCAGGCTCTTCTCCCGCCACCTTCTGTTCCATCCCTGGCCTTTGCCTTGGCTCATTTCTAAATAATTCTCTTCCAGAGAGGGAGGCAGAGGTGAGGGAGAAGAATCCTGAACTCAGCGCAGGGGCGTGATCGGACCAAGAGTATGTTGTGTGGGAAAGAGCACAGGGCTTGGAATCAGAAGATGTGGGAGCCCATCCCACCTCTGCCACTTACTCAACTTACTTAAGGACTGAGCTTTATTTTTTTTAATCTATAAGATGGAGATGCTACGTCACCTGACAACAAACTCACAGTGAGGATTAAACACATCACATCACATGTGAAAATTACCTAGCACGCTGACACATAGAAATCAGAGCCATGGGAGGTTTCAGACATTATTTTTTTCCCCAAATGCAACAGCAAAGGGCCCAGAACATTCATTTGTTCAGTAAACATTTACTGAATACCTGCTATAAAGTGGGTATTATTTTTGGCCCCATGAGGGGTTAAAAAAGTTGCTGCTCTTATCCTCGAAGGGTCCACAGGTTGGGGGAGGCAGCCCTGTCATATCCTGGTTTCTCTCCAGGAAGGATGAGAATAGATTTTGTGTTAATTACAGATGCTTCCTATCACCACCCCAGAGAAGCTAGATGTAAAAAAGTGGCAAAATACTCATTATAATTTTATGAGACTTCAACTCCCAGCTACAAACGCCACTCAGCAGCCCTCTCCCCAGCCATCCTGCAGGCCCCACCAGCTATCTTCAGTTGCTCCCCACTCAAATCTACGTTTGCTCCTAGAAACTGGGCTGTGGCCTGCAGAGATGGGACCCCTGGTCAGGTTGGGCCAGTTGCTGGCAGGTGGAGCAGTGGCAGGAGGTTGGAGGGAGGGGGAGAGGGAGTGGGGTGTTATTTCTCCGTTTCTCTCCCTGCCAAGCTGGCTGTGATCCAAAGAGGAAACCACAATTCTGCCCAGTTTTCTCTCCCCAGGTTTCAATCACGTTCCCAGCCCTTGGCCCCTTCAGGGACAGCTCAGCCAGTCCCCCCAAGCCCTGAAGCACTGCCTTCCCTCTTATAATTTCTTTATCTCCTGCCCACACCTGTCAAGCCCCCCTCAACTTTCCCAATTTAATGGTGCTATTTGTTCCTGCCCAGACTCTGACCAATACACAGGTGCTAAGGTGTTTGCGCTCACAGTAAGAAGATAGGCTAAACCCAAACCAATACGATGTATTGCATACAGAGCTGTTTAAGAAGGAAGATTTGGGTATAAGACCTGGTCTTAAAACAGTCTCTCCCTAACCAGCTGTGTGAATTTGGACCAGCAGTTTCATCTCTACGAACCTCTGTTTCCCTGTTTGTAAAATGGAGATAATGACACCCAGTCCTCAGAGTTGTTAAGAGGATTAAATAAATAAATATGAAACACTTAGTCTAGTGCCTGGCAGACAGCAAGTGGTAAATAAATGATAACTTATTATTATAATTATTAATATTAATATTAGCTTTATGTAAAGCTTAAAAGATTTTTTCCCCTATTTTTTAAACCACAAGATGATCTCCTGTTTCTCAACTACACAGACTTTTCACTTTATGCAAAAATGTTGGGACTGCAGGAAGTGTTCTTGGCTGGGGTTTGGCTACACATTCGTCCGTTGGCTTAGACCCTCTTTTCAGTAGGTCCCTTGTCCCCTGCCAGGTGGTGATTCGCAGGCGCCCCCTGGTCTATGTTGTAAGTCTGCTGATTCCCAGCATCTTCCTGATGCTCGTGGACCTGGGGAGCTTCTACCTGCCGCCCACCTGCCGTGCCAGGGTTGTGTTCAAGACCAGCGTGCTGGTGGGCTACACGGTCTTCAGGGTCAACATGTCTGATGAGGTGCCCAGGAGCTCAGTGAGCACCCCGCTGATTGGTGAGCATCTTCCGTCACTCCTGTCAAAGATCCAATGTTGCGTTTCAGATGGGGGGAAGGAGGAGGCCCGGAGAGCCCTGCTAACTCCGCCTCCTCCGGCTCCTTCCTGCAGGGGTCTTCTTCACGGTCTGCATGGCCTTCCTGGTTCTCAGCTTGTCCAAGTCCATCCTGTTGGTCAAATTCCTCCATGACGAGCAGTGCAGCCGGCAGGAGCAGACCCTCCTGTGCCTTCGAGGGGACACCGATGCTGGTGGGCCCAGAGTGGATCCCCGCACCCAGTCTGCCGGGGTCACAGGTTTGTGGGAAGCCTTGGGGCTCCTGCCTTGTCTTGCTTTATCACCCTCAGCGCCAGTTCCATGGGTAGGGCAGCAGGCTGTGTGAGAAAATGGAAAGATCCACTGCTTAGCCTCTGCACTGCCTTTTACATTACCTCCCTGGAGACTGAAGACCGTCTCCTGCTGGCTTTCCAGAAAGCCCCATTTTAGCCTAGAGGTCAAGCCCTCAGTTCCCTTGTGTCATTTTCTAGTTTCAGCCAGTTCCCTGAAGTGACTGAGCCATTGACTCCAGAATAGTGCAGTGCCTGTGCACACGCATACACACACACACATGCAGTTTGTATGTATCTGGGTTCTAGTTGCTTCATGTGAGCAAGTATATACATCATCCCAAAGTTCCCTTTGACAGCACATATACTAGAATTGGAACGACACAGAAGTCAGCATGGCCCCAGAGCGAGGACGACACACAGATTCATAAAGTGTTCCATGCTTGAAAGTTGCCGAGAGAGTATGGCCCAAAAGCTCTCATCACAAGAACAAATATTTGTGACTTTGTGTGGCGATGGGTGTTACCCGGATTTACTGTGATCATTTCACAACATATACAAATATTGAATCACTGTGTTGTACACTTGAAACTAATATAATGTTGTATGTCAGTTACATCTCAATTTTTTAAAAAAGAACTACTCTAGCCCCTAGAGCGCTAAGTGACTAGCTCAGAAAATCTCCTGGATGGATGAGCCCAGACACCTTGCTTACACAACACCCGACTCGCCACGTTCTCTAGGGCTTCCTTCAGGACAGCCTTGCCTCCCCTCAGCGGCAGGGAGAGGTTCCCTAATCCTAACCCAGCCCCATTTTGCCTACAACCTTGCTTGAAGGATGAGGCCATCGGCTTCAGTGGGAAGTCCAGGGGAGCCCTCGAAGTCTCTGGCTCATGCAGAGTGTTCTCCTCCCATGCAGAGTCCCCCGTCTGGCAAGAGCACCAGGCCCAGTCCGAGACCCTGAAGGAAGTCTGGTCCCAGCTCCGCTCCATTAGCAGCTACTTCCAAACCCGGGACCAGGCGGACCAGCAGGAGGCCGGGTGGCTGGCCCTCTTGGAACGCTTTGACCGAATGCTCTTCCAAAGCTACCTCGTTGTGCTGGGACTTTACACCGTCACCCTGTGCTCCCTCTGGGTGTCGTGGAGCGGCTTGTGAAGGCTGAAGTCTGCTCGTCTCAATCAGTGTGCTCTCATGGCACGTGGGGAAGGCTGAAAATTTGGGGGAGGATATTGGAGGGGGCGGAATAATGGGTTTAAAAGCTCTCCAGCCGCTGTTGCCTCTTATTACTCAGCCCAAGGAGGCACACCTAATGAGCTGTTGAGCGACCCAGGAGTAATGCATTCATGATGAAAATGCATAAACAGTACGAGGTATTCAGTGGAAAAGTAAATCTGTCTTCTTACCCAATTCACTCCCCAGAAGGGACCACCATTAGCAATCTCTTTCAGAAAATTTCTAGGCCTATACAAGCAGACATGTATGTTTAATTTTTTTTTAATTGTAAGATCACTCCATCTCCTAGTTCTATCTTGATCACTTACTAGGTGAGTCATTCAACAAAACTTTCATTGCCCTAAGCCCTAGGTATTATGTTAGACACGCCAGACAATACAGAATGAGTCAGTTTCAGATCATTCTTCACTTGACTTGACTTCTGGGGAACCTTGTTGCAACCAGAACACAAAATTCCCCCCATGCCTGCATCCTGAAGCTCTTGCGCCACCGCCCCTGTTGAGTCATCTTTCTCTGTGCCTTCTCGGCCGTGTATTATTATTGGAAGGGATCCAGGTGCTAAGTGTTCTGTGTCCAATCCAGCACAACATTTATCAACACACACCATGGGTAAGGCACTGAGCTGGGAGATTGCCTTAATGCATGGCCCTTGGGGTCAAGGAATTTATAATCCGCTATCTTTGTATTTATCTGCTTGGGCTGCCGTAACAAAATATCACAGATGGGTTGACTTAAGCAGAGATTGATTTTTCTCACAGTCTGGAGGCAGGAAGCCCAAGATCAAGGTGTCGGCAAGGCTGGTTTCTTCTGAGACCTCTCTCCTTGGCTTGTAGGTGGCTGCTTTCTTCCTGTGTCCTCATATGGTCTGTCTACTGTGTGTGTGTGTGTGCATGTCTATCTAAATTTCCTCCTTTTATAAGGACATTAGTCATATTGGACTAAGGCCCACCCTAATGAACTCATTTAACCCTAACTACTTCTTTAAAGGCTCTGTTTATAAATCCAGTCCCTTTGCGAGGTACAGGTGGTTAGGACTTCAGTATATGAATTTGGGGGGACACAATTCAGCCCATAAAACACACGTGATTGCAGAGGCTTGGCAAATCCATAACCTGCAGGGCAGGCCGGCAGGCTGGAGACCCAGGGAAGAGTTGCAGTTCGAGTCCAAAGGAGGTCTGATGGCAGAATGTGCTCTTCTGTTATGGAGGTTGATCTTTTTCTCTTAAGGCCTTCAAATGATCAGATGAAGCCCACCCATATTCTGGAGGGCAATCTGTTTTATTCAGAGTCTACTGGTTTAAACTAGTAGGTTTTATCCTCCAGGATAAACCTTCACAGAAACATCATGAATAATGTTTGAACAAATATCTGGGTACCGTGGCCCAGCCACGTCGACATGTAAAATTAACCATCAGAGTCCCAGTGGTCCCTTAGCTTCCCACCTATGACCACGGCCTCTCGTCCGGAGGAGCCCTCATCACCTTGTACTTGGGTAACTAGTCAACCTCTGGTTCATACTCTTCAGTTGCCAGTTCTATACTGATCATCCTATCATGTGGTGGTTCCTGTGGCCTCATAACCTGAATCTTAAGATTAGAATTCAAGCCTTCCACAAAGTTTCCCTCCCCTTATATTTGACCTTCTTCATTTCTCATTGCTTCCTACTACAGAGTCCCCAATTTAGCCAAACCAGCCTGCCTGCCATCCTCCTCAGGAAGGGCTGTACTTCCATCTAAGCCTCTACTTCTAATTGCCATGCTCTTGTTTGTTTGTTTCACCAACTTGCATATCACTGTCTGAAGATCCTGCTCAAAGGAGCTGTCTTCCCTCACCTCTTCCACCTGGCCCCCAGGACTCTGTCTTCTCTCTTGTATCTTCAGATGTACATTATCTCCTGTCCTCTTTGAATGTTTTGTTGGCTTTGTGTGTGTGTGTGTGTGTGTGTGTGTGTGTGTTTGTGTGTGTGCATCACTTGTAAAATAGATCATACACTCCTGAAATAGAAATCCTCTTTTCTATTTCTAGTTTATCCCTCATCTCTGCCCAGGTCCACACAGAGTTTTGCTCATGGTGACTATGCAAAATTATTAAAATTTAAACCCAGCTCACCACTGATGATGGACACATTTCTACTGTGTTTTCCCCAGTCTGAGGGATGAAATCTGCCCAAAGTCAGCCATGCAGTCCCTCAGCATCCCTCCCGCAGGGCAGATGTCAGGAATTGGTGGGTAGAAAAACACAGTGGGCTGAGTGACAGGCATCACTCCTAAAGCGGCTGGCAGAGGACCGCTCTTTGCTGGGAACTTTTTCCAGCATTAAAATTGCCTTTAAAAAAAGCTGCCCCCCCCATCTCCCCAAAGAAAAAGAATTTAAATTCAAACAGCCTTTACCTGCATCCTCCCTCTCTCATTACCTCCCAGTTAGTGCTCAACGCCAATTGTCCATGAAATTCCACTGCTGCTGTTAATGAAATGAGGACCATAAGAAGTTTGTGAGCAGGAAGTGTCCATGCAAAGCTCCACGTGTTTCCTTCCTCACTTCCTACTTTCTGCTACTGGCCTCGTCTGCTTCAGCCTGCTCAGTTAGCCTCTAAATCGACCCCTAAATCTCTCCCCACTTCCTTGCTTATTGGAGGAGGAAAAAGCCTGCAGTGAGCTCTGCACAACAGAGGCTCTTTCCTTTCCAGCCGTGTGTCGAAGAAGGCACCTGACTTTGCTCCCGGCTCCATCACCACCGAGCCAGGGGACCTCGAGCCTAACCTCTCAGAGCTTCAGCTTCCCCTGTTTGGCCTCGGCATTACTTCCACTTATTCTACCTATATCATAGAGTTTTGAGGATCAGAAGGAAGCCATGTATTGAACAGCACTTCGGAAAGAAAAGAATATATCACACAATAAAAAGACCTGCCTGTGATCAACAGATGGGTTCCAGTCTCGAGCCCTTGGTGCGCAGTCCTCTTTCAGCTGCCTCTGGCAGAATCAGTTATGGGCTCTGGTTCTCCCCCAAAGCGTCTTTATTCCAGGATCCAAGGGCTGAAGCCATCACGTGCCTCCTTGTCGGGGACTCGGGTTGGGGGAGGCTGTCCACGAGACTTCCCACTTTATTTTCCACGCAGCTCACCTTGGCTTCCTCCCTAGGGAATATCTCCCAGGTTCTCTCTGTCGGGCTCTAGGAAGCAGCCCTTCAGGAGTGAAGCCTGGCTGCTGAGCTGGGCCCCGGTGTGGACCTCCTCTGTCCAAGTGCCAAGTGGCCCTGATCTCAACATGGCAGCCAGGGACTCACTCTAAGCCCTGGATCGGGTCTGCGTCCTGAAGCAAAGCCGTTGTCAACGAAGGCACTAGAGCTTTCCTCCTGGAGGAGTGTCCCCCTGCAGCGGGAGGTAAAGGGCGCCAGCCACCCTTATTTACAGAGCAGCGTTCACTCAGCCCCTCCCAATGTTTGTACATTTCGTGATTCCTGTTTCATAGAGGAAGGAAACTGAGGAACAGAGCAAAAATGGGGTTTTCCCAGCTGTGAAGGCTCCTACCGTCTGCTGTTACCCAGGATCTAAGGTATTTTCAGCACTCACCAAGAAATCACAGCGCCAGCCTGGGATTTCACTGCGGTCTAGAAGAAAGAGTGAGTGAAGCACAGCCCCCGGCTAGACAGGCAGCCCCCTTGTCACTGCATCTCAGAATGACCTCCAAGTGCCGCGGCCACCATCTCCCACAGCTTCTGCGGCCCTTTGTTTGACCAGTAATTCTGCGGTGGAGGTCTCTCCTCCCAGGACATCCCCACCTCCCTCTCCGGTTCTCCTAGAGGGGAGGAGCCCTGTGGTTAAGGGAGCTGAGCCCCTCGCCTTTTACATCCCCAGCCAGTCTCCCGGGGTCCAGCTTAAAGCCTAGTGAGTCAGATCCAGAAAGGAACCAAAGAGCCACAGCATGAAGCTGCTCCTGAAGGCATTAGCCCTTTCCACAGTGCAGCCCCCAGCGCTCCCAGGTCCTCTCACTGCTCAGAGATCCAATTACGCATCTAAAGGCAAGGTTAGCAGAAGGGGATGGAGCTTAAACTTTTACCCCACCCCGCGGCTTTGAGGTTCCAGAAAACTTCAGGTCTTGGGTTTTAAGCTAAGGATTTCCTCCACCAGCTCCCAGATGGTGGGTGGTCACCCTGGGCAGTGATCAGAGACCCCAGTTCCTGTGTTTCCTCCAGGAAGTCTGTGCCTCCCTCCCTGC